ACACACACACACACACATACACACACACACACACACACACACACACACACACACACACAAACAAACAAACACGCCGATGCGGATGAGCACATGCTCACAGTCTCTCTCACGCTCATACCGCTGCGTATTTATTCACTTTGACACTCAAAAAAAATTATTTTCAATGGATTGTTTCTTACTGGCAAAGCGATAAACTGAAAAATAACTTTCTTGTAAATATTTTGCGCCTCCTTCGACACAGTTTAGATCATATAGCCCGTCATGCCCAATCGGGGCTCAGAGGGATTACAGAATTACATCAGGCAGAGGAACTAAGCCCACATTCGATAAAAAATCCCCATCTTCACTTGGGAACTGAACTCACATCCTGCATGCCGGCGACGTTGAGCAATGAACAATGAATACTAAGGGAAAGCACTCTTGTACTTTTAAGTAAAAATGAATAGTTTTCATGGTTCCGTCCCCTTTGCTCTTCTTTATTTTAATATTGTACTCAGAACATCGGGGAGGCACAAAGGATACTGAAATGTTTGTTGTCATTAGAAAAAAATAAATGTCGAAACACCTATTGATGCCATTCGGATCCAGAGCAAAATAGAGCTTTAAAAAACGCGATGCTTTAATAGCTTTTCTAAGGGGTATCGCTACCCTGAAAACCAACTTTTAAACCAGAGAACATGTGAAGCTAGTATTGTTATATGTTGATACGTATGTGGAGGAATGAAAATATACACCTTCAAACAATTCATAAACTCATCGGTTACCATGGAAATGGCGACCATCTTGAATTTTGTTGACAATTTTATTTTCTTAAATATTTCAAAACTATGCTACCTAGACGATTTTTAAAAGGCAAAAGGGATAGAAGGCATGCCATTTTACAGCTAGCTAGTTTTCATATTGATAGGACCATTAGTAATCAGTTCAGAGGTCTCCAAAGTGAGCTTGTCCAAAAAGAGTGGAATAGTTAGGCTAAATTCTTCAGAAAAATGTTAGTGGGTCGTTGACGACGTGCATACAAGTGGTTTGTACATGCAGGACCGCTTTCTTTTATTGTCTTGTTTTTTCTTGGGGGAGGGGGGAGGGGGAGGGGGTGAGGGTAGTGTATTTATATAGGTGTTTTCACACCCAGATATCAACACAATTCAGATTATCAATAAGTAAGGGGGTTTGGATGCTGTCTGTCGGGGCCAAACCAGACTAAGAGGGATACAACGTCACAGCAGAAAGACCTTTTAAAAGTTTAAGTAGAGGTTTTACCGTAAGGTCACATGAGCGCCACGCGGAAAGACTGGGAGTCGAACAAAATTAATATTGGGTCTCCTGAGTGCTATGGCGAAGTGCCTAACCACTGCCCAATAGAAACTTGATTTGTATTGGTTTTAGCAGGTGAAATAGGGTCCAACACATCCGCTATAGCCTTGGCCGTTCACCATTTGTGTGTGTATATGTCCCTATGTGTGTGTATGTGTGTTTGTGTGTGTGTGTGTGTGTGTGTGTGTGTG